ACACCAGGTGAGGGCTGTAACACTTGGTAGAATCTAGATTATAACACCAGGTGACATCTGTAACACTTGGTGAGGGCTGAAACACCTGGAGAGAGCTGTAACACCAGGTAAAATCCAGATTATAACACCAGGTGAGGGCTCTAACACCAGGTAAAATCCAGATTATAACACCAGTTGAGGGCTGTAACACCAGGTAAAATCCAGATTATAACACCTGGTGAGGGCTGTAAGCCCTGGTAAAGTCCATAACCCCAGGTGCCGATGGTCTCTCTCAGGAACTTGGGGTGACTGGGAACACTTGTTGGAACTCCAAACCTCCACTCCCTGAGAGCTCAGGGGCTCTGGACCTTGAGGTGTTTGTTCAGTGCAGGACCCTGAGCTGTCTCCTGTCGCTCTGCAGGTTCTCAGGTGTGACAGAAGAGGACCTGGAGAACACGAGCATCACCCTGCGGGATGTCCAAGCCGTCCTCCTGAACATGTTCAGTGCAGACACCATACTAATAGGGCACAGCTTGGAAAGCGACTTATTTGCACTAAAGGTAACTTGAGGCCTTGCCTTCACATCTCCTTCTGCTGCTTACCCGTCCTGGGGGGTGTTGGGTGTCTCCTTTGAATTTAGGAATTTTTTATTTCCAAGAACCAGGGGGACAAAGTGGGGTGGCCTCACCTCGGGTTCTGTGTGCCATATAAAAATGCCATAAAGCCATTAGAGAGTGTCCAGAGGAGCCATGTGAGTAGTGAAGGGTCTGGAGAGGCCTCAGGAGGAGCAGTTGAGGGCACTGAGTTTGTTCAGCTGGAGAAGAGGAGACTGAGGGGAGACTCCTTGTGGTCTTCAACATCCTCCTGGGGGAAGAGGAGGGGCAGGTTCCAACCTCTTCGCTCTCTGGGACAGGGCCAGGAGCCCAGGGAACGGCTGGAGCTGTGTCAGGGCTTGGNACACCAGGTGAGGGCTGTAACACTTGGTAGAATCTAGATTATAACACCAGGTGACATCTGTAACACTTGGTGAGGGCTGAAACACCTGGAGAGAGCTGTAACACCTGGTAAAATCCAGATTGTAACACCAGGTAAAATCCAGATTATAACACCAGGTGAGGGCTCTAATACCTGGTAAAATCCAGATTATAACACCAGGTGAGGGCTCTAACACCTGGTAAAATCCAGATTATTACCCCAGGTGAGGGCTGTAATACCTGGAGAGAGCTGTAACACCTGGTAAAGTCCAGATTATAACATCAGGTGAGGTTTAGATTATCACACCAGCTGAGGGCTGTAACACCTGGTAAAATCCAGATTATAACATCTGGTGAGAGCTGTAACCCCTGGTGAGGTCCATAACCCCAGGTGCCGATGTTCTCTCTCAGGAGCTCGGGGTGGCTGGGAGCACTTGTTTGAACTCCAAATCTCCACTCCCTGAGAGCTCAGGGGCTCTGGACCTTGAGGTGTTTGTTCAGTGCAGGACCCTGAGCTGTCTCCTGTCGCTCTGCAGGTTCTCAGGTGTGACAGAAGAGGACCTGGAGAACACGAGCATCACCCTGCGGGATGTCCAAGCCGTCCTCCTGAACATGTTCAGTGCAGACACCATACTAATAGGGCACAGCTTGGAAAGCGACTTATTTGCACTAAAGGTAACTTGAGGCCTTGCCTTCACATCTCCTTCTGCTGCTTACCCGTCCTGGGGGGTGTTGGGTGTCTCCTTTGAATTTAGGAATTTTTTATTTCCAAGAACCAGGGGGACAAAGTGGGGTGGCCTCACCTCGGGTTCTGTGTGCCATATAAAAATGCCATAAAGCCATTAGAGAGTGTCCAGAGGAGCCATGTGAGTAGTGAAGGGTCTGGAGAGGCCTCAGGAGGAGCAGTTGAGGGCACTGAGTTTGTTCAGCTGGAGAAGAGGAGACTGAGGGGAGACTCCTTGTGGTCTTCAACATCCTCCTGGGGGAAGAGGAGGGGCAGGTTCCAACCTCTTCGCTCTCTGGGACAGGGCCAGGAGCCCAGGGAACGGCTGGAGCTGTGTCAGGGCTTGGSATGGATCTCAGGGAAAGGTTCTTCTGTCCCCAGAGGGTGCTGGCACTGCCCAGGCTCCCCAGGGAATGGTCCCGGCCCCGAGGCTGCCAGAGCTGCAGGAGCGTTTGGACAGCGCTGCCAGGGATGMACAGGGTGGGGTTGTTGGGGKSYCTGGGCAGGGMCAGGGGTKGGAWTGATGATCCCTGTAGGAYCCAGCTCAGGACATTCTAGGATTCCAYRTTCKGTCCTTTCTGAGCCTGTGGGAATCTGGTTGTGGTGTAAGAGCAAGGGAGTGGGGACATGTGTGTCACTCACAGTGTCACCCCACCCCAGCTGTTGGTGGCTGCTGCTGCCCAGGGTGGCAGAGCTGTCCAGAGGTGACTGGGCTGGACAGGACTCTGGGCACCCTGCTGTAGTGGAAGGTGTTTCTGCCATGGCAGGGGCTGGAACAAAGTGCTCTCTCAGGTCTCTCAGGTCTCTTCCAACCCAAACCATTACACAATTCCRTGACTGATCCCAAATCATTGCCTTCCATCCCTGCCAGATTTGCTCTCTGCTCTGTGCCTGCTTTGCTGGGACTTGTGTTACTTTGATGAAGTTATCTTGTCTTTTACCTGCCCTGGTTCCTGCCTGGCACCCCTCACCCTGCTATGCCCATCCCTCAGCCACCTCTGCTGTCCTGCCAGGGGTTTGTCCTGGTTCACCAGGTGGGAGCCAAGTCTTTGTGCTCACATTCCAGAGCTTCCCTCAGCCATTTTTCATCCCAAAGCTCCCCTGCTGAAGCCTCTGTGGCTGCCAGCTCCCAGCGCTGCCTTGGAAGCAGGAGCTTTTAATGCCTGTAAAACACTTTACCTCTCCGTGGCACCCTTTATCCCAGCCTTGAAGAGGCTTCATCATCATCAGAAAAACATTATTTGCAGTTAGATCAGTAAGAGATGACTGCCTTGGCCTCTCAGAGGCTCGATTTTCTCTTAGCACCWCAGCTCCTGCCAAGAGAAGGAGCCCAGAGCAATCCAGCAGAACCCTGGGCTGTCACAGCAGAATGGCCGAGGGCTGCAGCAGCAAAGCCATAGCTCACTAATGGCCGTGGCCAGTTCCAAGTGCTGATGGCATTTCAAGTTTTATTTAAAGCTTTATTATCCTGTTTCCTCAGTCTTCCTGATCTCCATAAGTAATTACCAGTGTGGCTGGGCAGGTGCCAGAGCTGGGTGCAGTCCAGGCAGATTATCCATAACGTTGGCAGCTTTATGCTCCCAGGAGTGCAGCAGGTTGGTTGTGTCAGAGTGCAGCTGTTCTGGGGAAGATTTGGAGCTGGTGGAGTTATGGTTT